AAACATATTTTACGTGTAAGTTCTAATAATGATGATGATAAGAGTTTCAGCTCTAAGTTAGGTGGGTAAAACATGGTTTTGTTGGACAATTTGCTTAAATCTTTCTAGCTTTCCACGTTCCCATGCTGTAAGTCAGTCAGTTACCTGGTTTATTGAATATATTCATCATCTTTAAAATGCAACTATCAGGTACTGATCAATTTTCGGGGTTGTAGCAAGAGATGACTGATCACAATAACTGCAAAGCACCTAGAAAATAGTGTGTGACAGAAATATGAAGGTACAGAGGATGCAGGTAAAATGAACAACAGTCTGGGTGTCAACCTGGAGAATTTTAATTATGTTATTTGCAAAATAAAATATTTTGACAGCTACTTTAAAAATGCATGCAAATCCCCAAGTACCTTTTGTATGCTAAAAAGCAAGCAGATGTGTTTGTAGCATTGCTAGTCAGGGCAGCATTTTTTTCCTGGAGTCAATCCTCATGTGTCATTTAGAAAAAAATGCCCATTTTAGTTACTGTGATAGAGGGCAGGAGTTCACTGATAGCATTTTCTGTAGTTGGTGCACAGATCTGTGTCTACTTATCTGAATTTTTATCACAGAGCAATAGGCATCTTCTGGCTGCTGTGAAGACCTGCATCAGACAAGGTTTGCCTTATGGGCATAGATCTGAGGCCAAAATGCTTATGAAATATTAATTGTATGGTGGGGGATGGGGTGCCACTTCACTACAGCTTGGGTTTTGATATAAACTTTCCTTTTGGGAATTTGGAATTATTTTGCAGAGATGAAACTTTCATATAGAGTATTATACTTTTTCCCAAGCCATCTTCTGCAGGATAAAAAAAGTGGCACCAGATTGTAATTAATAATCTCTGCTTCCTCATGGTTTATTAAGGACTCTGGGCTGCAGTACTTGCAATGAATTCCATTTGCTGGAGAGCCCAGAGTGCTATGGCTTTGTTGCCAGCTTGCTTATTTCAAACGCGTTTAGTCCTGGAAATACCTTTCTTCTTTCTCCATTTTATTGTCCTCCTTTTCCCCTTTCCCCATCTTCCCCTTTCTCTTCCTTACCTTTCTCCCTCCTTTCTTCTTTCCTTGCCTTGCCTTTTCCTTCCCTCCCTCCCTTCTTCCTGTGTCTTTCCCTTTCTTCCCCTCCTTCAAAGTAGCCCATTTGAATTTGGGGTGGCTTTAATTGTTGAGAAGTTTTTCCTCACATTAAGTTTGTCTGCCAGCTTGCAACTTTCACCCATTATTCCTAGTTTGCTCCCTCAGGGACAGAACAAGTTCTTTTGAATACTCAAAGGCAGCTATCCTGTTCTCCCAACTCTTTTATTTTCAAGGCTAAAACAACCTACAATTATCCCTTCCTCATTGTGAGTGTTAGGAGCACAGATCTGGAAAAGCAGTGTAAAATTTTTTGGCCCTCCATAACAGAGAAGAAGTCTGAATTATTATGGTATTAAAAGATAAAATAGGTTGGTATTATACAACACTATACACATACTTCGTGCATTTCTGATTTTCTAAATTTTTTCTGTGTCGTCTGCTGGCCTTTGCATGTTGTCTGCAGATTCTGCAAAACTCCCAAACAATTCCCATTTAATCTCTTATGCTGACCCGAGATGCATCCAAACCAAGATGGGGAAAGTCACGATGTAGAAGGAACAACTGCAGTTCCTTCAGCTAATCATGTCATGGCATTATCAGGAGGCTCCTTAACATCCTTGTCAATCTCCTCTCTCACTGAAATACTGATCCAGATGATTGATTGAGGAATGGCTAAAGAAATGGTGGTATATGAATTTGATACAATTATTTTTGGGCTCTAAAAAAGAATGAATATGAAGGATTTGGAGGATCATGGAAAGACTTGTATGAATTGATGTGGAATGAAATAAGAAGCACATACATGACAACATATAACAAAATATATAATAAATGTATATATCATATTATATATAACATACATAATGAAATAGGAAGCATATTTATAATACAATATATAATATTACTACAATAAGGTAAATGAAAAGAACAATAAGATGAAATGGAATGCTACCCAATCACAGTCTAGTTTTAGTCCCAGAGAACAAATGAAAAAACCTAATAACTTTCTTTGGAGAGGTGGAGGACTAAGGGTGTGGAATGATGCATATATTGTCAGATTTGGTGGATATGATGGTTTGTTTTGCTTAACTTTTTTTTCCCAAGGGAAGGCTTACTAGGTAAGGAAGGGCAGGAGGGGGATGTTTACAAATACTTTGATGTAAAAATTAAAAAAAAGCATAAAGGAAGAAACTCTGACCTTTGTTTCTGAAGGTCAAAGATGGTTTTTCTTTGTCCTTTCTAATTTCTTGAAGCACCTGATACAGTGACTATTCAGACAGGTGGGCTCATGCAATTGTGCATATTAACCATAGAAAGTTTAAGTTAAGCGTCTTTCTCAAATTTTAAGGTGTTTGGGCATTACATTTGACCTTCTGGTAATGCTCTTAGATATGTGACCTTTTTCTTTGTTGATACAAACCTTAGTAATCAAATGAAGGAGATGTTATTTGGGGACTTCAGAAATCACTTTTCTTCAGGTCTTATGTTAGCTAATTTCCCCAGATTTTGTCTAAGTCCAGTCTTGGCAAAAGGTGGAAGAGAGACTTCCTCCCCAACTTCCATTTGTTAAAGTCTCTCCATTCCTTCAACTTCATTCCATCAAGTCCTTTCATTCACCCAACATCAGTGCCATCTGTTCAAAGCCCTTTTCTCAAAGAAAATCAGATCTCAATGTCATCAACCTTGCTTTCCTTTGTTCTTACTCATACTCCACTTACCATTTTGTCTAGACTTGTCTTTTGCACCTATCTTACTCTTCCTTGGAAAATACTTAAATGTGTCTTTTCTACTTTTTAGATTATTACCATTTTGAAAACAGGATCTGTCATATCTATCTGTTTCCCTTATTACCTTGGATGGTACCTTGCAATGTTGGTTGAATTTACTTGGAAGGACCATATGATCTCTTAAAGTCTGTTTTAGCTCCATGATTCTGAAACATACATGTTACTTATGTGCTGTGATGATAATCATGATAGGAACAAACCAACAAATCATGGACTGACACTTTAAATTCCATAATCACATACCTTTTATTATAATGTAATGTTTAAATAGCATGATGAGATTAATTCTGTGATCTTTACCTTGGAGAAGCATTTCCAGCTTTGATATTAGTATGAAATCTGTCCACTGAATTAAAAAAAAAGAAATATTATTTGAAAGTGCAGGAAAATTCTCTTTATAAGTCTGATGTTGGGAAGAATAGAACTAATACATACTTAGATGGCTTATAAACTTGTGACATGACTAAATATGATTTGGTAGTTGTTACATCTTAATCTGAGTACTAAGGAACCATAGTATAAATAGGGTTTCTACTAAATGAGACTCAACAAGCATTTATTAAGCAATTACTCTGTGCATGGGTCAGGAAGACCTGTGCTTAAATCCTGCTTCAGACACACGCTGGCTGTGTGACCTGGACAATTCCCCAGGCAGCTCTATAGAAATTGTATAGCAGATGCCCATTTGTCTTGGTAAAGGGAGTTCCCTTAACATTCCACTCTGCATCTGCTGTTCTTGTTGTTGCTGAGTTGTTTCAGACTTTCTGTGACCTCATTTAAGGTTTTCTTGGCAAAGATACTGGAGTGATTGGCCATTCCCTTCTCCAGTTCATTTTACATATGAGGAAACTAAGGCAAAAAAGGTTAAGTGATTTGTCCAGGGTCACCCAGCTAGTAAGTGTCTGAGGCCAGATCTGAACTCAGGTCCTCCTGAATCCAGGGCCAGCACTCTATCCACTACTGCTGCTTTGCCCATTTTCAACTCCATAAAACAAGAGGCCTGGCTCAAGTTCAGCTCCTTACCTATAATCTCATCGCCATGCTGCTAACTCTAGCCTTGATTGGCACCATTTCCGTCAACCTCTTTTCCCCTCTTTTTGGAGGGATGGAGGGTAGAATACCAAACTCCTCCTAATGCCTTCCTTTGTAGAAGGCAGAAACTAGATGTCTTGGCTCACTCCATTCTGTGTGTACTGCTCTGCCTGGTTTCAGCACCACAGAACAAGATGTCCCTGAAATGGATACCCCACAGTCTTCCCCCCTCATTTCCTGCCTCTTTTTGTGTGTTGTCCCTCTCCCCCCATTAGATTGTAAGCTCCTTGAGGTCAGAGACTTTCTTTTTATTAATTGTATCCTCAGTGTTTAGCACATTTCCTGGCACATAGTAGGCACTTAACAAACATTCATTGGATGGGCCATATAACAATGAAATCAGAGGTCTAGTCCTCCCCCAAGTGTGCAAAGCACTAAGCTAGGGCCTGGGGGTAGAAAGACAGAAAGCAAAGCTCCTTCCCTCAAGGAACTTATATTCTACTTGGGAGCTGGGGGGAGACCAAATGTTAAAAAAAATACAAGATAATCAGAGAAGGGAGAAAACCAATGGTTAGAGGAACCAGGAATGACTTCCTATAGGAGGGAGCACCTTAGCTGAGCCTTGAAGGAAGCCAAGGTTTCTAAGAGGCAGAGGAGAGGAGAGCGTGCGATTTTGGGCTTGGTGGATGGCACACACCATCATCCACAGAGATGGGTGATGGAACACAACACAGAGATGGAGGAGGAAATGTTGAGTCTGGGGAACATCTAGGAAGACAATCAGTATAGGAAGAGGAGCAGTGTGAAACAGGACTTCTCACAAAGCAAGAAGCAGTTCTTTCCATTTATAAAACAGCCTGTAGTGTTTTCTCTTTCTCCGTAGTGGTGGATGGTTAAGGAAGCTGCTTCTAATGGCACTGATTTTTGCAAAGTTCAGTTCCAAATGATGCTACCCATTCTGCCACTGTTATTTTGGTGACTGCGGTGCCAGTTTGCTCAGGCTTTCTGCCTAACCTTCCAGTGTCACCAACCTTGCTTTCCTTTGCTCTCTCTCTCAATGTGCTGCAGGGAATAGTTTCTCTACAGCCAAGGATCTCACAGAGGAGATTAGGTCGTTAACATCTGAGAGAGAAGGGCTGGAGGGCCTGATCAACAAGCTGCTGGTGCTGAGTGCCAGGAACGTCAGGAAACTGGAGAGAATTAAAGAAGATTACAACAGACTGAGACAAGAAATAGAGCAGGGGGAGACTGCCTATGGTAAGTAGTTCGCCAACTGTTGGCTGACAGAGAGCTTGCTATGACTGTGTCAGGGGCAGAACAATACTGCTTCATGTGAATACTGATGCAAAGGGTGACAGAGAGAACACTTTCCCTGTTGGGGACTGGGGATGGGGAAGATTTTTGGCAGGCATTTGACTAACAGGAGGAGGCTGGATCTGTTGTCAGTTTTTGTCTTGTTATATTCATGAGTGACATTTTTTCCCCCTTCCCCTCTGAGTTTGCTAATGATCTTTTGATCATTTAGCACAATCTTTCTGTTGGCTCGGATGTTTGAGCTATTTCTTTGGTTGACACTTATTTTGGTATTTTAAAACTTAACAAATTGTGTCTGTGTGTAAAGGTTGGTAAAGCTGTGTTTGCATGCTTGAGAATGATGAGATATTGTTGAAGTACAATAGAAAAAAAGTTTATGAAAGATGTGGAATGAAAGAAGCAACACTGGAATAGTATATGTACTTATTACAACAGTATAAATGAAAAAATCACTACAAGGAAGCCAAACTCTGAATCACTGAAAATCTAATAATGGTTCCAGACAATAGATAACAGATAATAAAGCACAAGGTTACGTACATTGTCAGATGCATTCAGTGTTTTGGTTTGCTTACTTGCTTTTTTCTTTTTTTTGATAACAATATTCTATTCTGAGGCTTGAGTGAGAATGGGAGTGGGGCATATTCAGAATAATAGTGATATAATAACAAAAGTCATTCATAAAAATGTATTAAATTAAAATGGAAAAGCTTATAAAAATAGCATGTACCATGTTGTATTCAAGCCACAGGTAGTTTCATAAGTGGGTACCTATGTATGTGTGAGGTGGGGGGGGAAAGGTGTTGGTTTGGAAAGAAGAGGAGATTGAGGTCTAAATTCCATAGTGTTTATGGCTTTGAGAATCACTGAATTTCAGACTTGGAAGAGACCCCACCCTCCATGCTTACTTACTTGTGCTGTAGCTAAGTCACCTGACTTCTTTGTGCCTCAGTTTCTACATGTGTAAAATGAAGTTGTTGGACTAGTGGTCTCTGAGGTTCTTTCCAGCTCTAAGTCTACAATTTGAGGACTCTATACCTTCTATACCAACCTCAATTTGAACAGAAATCTCCTCTATGATATTTCTGAGTCATTTCAGGGCTCAGTAGCATCTGACTTTTTGTGAAACCCATTTGGGGTTTTCTTGGCAATGACACTGGAGTGGTTTGCTACTTCCTTCTCTAGTTCATTTTCAGATGAGTAACTGAGGCAAAAAAAGGTTAAGTGACTTGCCCAGGGTCACACAGTTAGTAAGTATCTGAGGCCATATTTGAACTCAAGAAGATGAGTCTTCCTGACTTCAGGCTAGTACTCTATTCACTGCACCACCTACCTGCCCCAATAATATGCCCAGTCAACCTCTAAAGACCACCAGTTATGGGGAACATATATCCATTTCTCTATAGTTGTATTTATTGGGAAATTTGTCTTTATGTAGAGTGTGATCTTTAAAAAGGTTCAAGAGAGGTGATTTCTGAGGAATTTAATCATTTTATTAATAATACCAGCATGTTCATTAGTAAAAAGATGGCCATTTGGCTGTCTCTTTCTTAGACCAAAGACAGTCATGGAGGCAGGTTTGTGACTTAAATGTCCCTTGGAAGAATAGTGTTCCTGAGGGTGGCAATCAACTCTGATTGGTTAATAATCAATGAGAGGGTGAATATTACAGTGAAGAACTGAACCTATGAACTTTGATTATGTCATTTGTTTCTAGTTACCCCCAGCCTTGGGTAGTCTATTCAAAGAATTTATCACTACCCAAACCTGAATAGAGCACAATGGCTTCCCCACCTGGGTGGGGTTTTAGTCTAATCTCATTTTCAGTAATGTCCTTCAAGAGACTGAACTTTTGAGATCAGGACTAAGAACTCTGGTTCTCCCCAAATCATTGGTTATAATTAATCATTTCTCTCAGAGCCCAAATTGTTTTGCAATTTCCACTCACTGCTTCTCTCCTCACTCTCTTCCATATGACAGCCCTTCAAATATTTGAAAACAGCTTTCTTGTTCTCCCCAGGTTTTCTCTTCTCTAGGCTAAGCATTTTCAGCCACTTTAAACATTCGTCTACCTTCTCTGGATATGCTCCAGTTTGTGTTATCTAAAATTTGGCCCACAGAACTCAATATATCCTTCCCAGACTGCTCTAGCTGTTTCATCTACTGGCTCTAGCTATTTTTGTTCTCTTGCATGCTTCTCCTTCGCTTCAGCCTTTCCTAGTCTTCTGTATTATGTGTCCTGTCAGTATTCACTGCCTGGTCCCCACATCTGGGAGCTACTACATGAATGACCATCCTGCCTTTCTCCATAGCAGCTGGTGAAGTCTTCCTTTTGAGACGTTTCTTTCCAGTGCCTGCCAGTCACTCTAACTGAAGAGCCATCCCTCCCTCTGCTTCTCTTTGGAGACCTTCTGGACTGCATAGAATTGTGATTTCCTGCCCCACTCAACATGTTCTGCAAAATAGCCCTCATTGATCCATTTTGTTTTTCCCTGCGACACATTTCGTCCTTATTCTTTTCTTCTTCATTTTTTGTTTCCTCTTTCCTTTTCTTTTCTTACTCGGTGACAACTGTCATACTTTTCAAACTGTTCACCTTATGTTTCCTCTTTCCAAGAGAATCATTTTTTCTTTGATTGCTCATCTCCCTCTTGTCTCACTTTAGCTATTCTGGACATCCCTCCCTCCGGTGCTAATGCCCCTCACCCCAGTATTAATTATTCCAATAGCCCCACAATGCAAGTCTAAGATCCCTGAGGTTCTCTCTGCATCCTGAGTTGGCATTTATATAGTCTATTTTCAGCAAAATGTGAATTTCCTTTTTTAGAGAGGATCTTCTTATCTATATTTTTTCCCATTTATCCATGAACCTAGGACCTTCATGTAGGTTTAAGCTTGAGGTATATTTAAATATTTTAAGCATACAGTTTGGATACCATTTCTTGAGTTTGGGAAGTGAATAAATATGCTCTTTGGCAAAATAAATTTACATCCATTTGTCCTATATCTAGTTCGGTCAGTTACAAGCTAAAGCAATCTGACTGCTAAAATTATAAAATATCCATGAAGTATCCCTTTTAAAAGACTAGTTTAATAAGCTATTATAGCTATTGAGGGCAAGGCCTACATAGCACAATGAATTACTCATTCATTCATTCATTCATTCATTCATTCATTCATCCAATAAGTATTTTTTAAGTATCTACTATATGCCAAACACTATACTAGAAGCTAGGGATGTGTAGATTAAAAAAATTAAATACTTGAGAGAATGAATTAATATCTGATAGATATGGCCTTATTGTTAGAGCAAGGGTCAAGGCCTTGTAACTTGGAGGGAGTCAATCAATGCATGCCAAATTAATAAAAAACAATATTCTTTTGGTTTAGGAAGACTCACTTGAAAGACAGATGGTATGATAGAAAAAAGAATGAATCTGGTGACAGAGGGCCTAGATTCAAATCCTGACTTTTCTACTTGTTACCCGCGTGACCTTAGGCAGATTATTTAACCTCTCTGCATCTGTTTCCTTGTCTTTATAATGAGGGAGTTGCACTAGATGGCTTCTTCTGACCTTTCTTATCCTATATCTATGACAGCTATATGGTTCTTTGTGGTTTGTTAGAGCATATTGCCCTGCTATCTCTCACTCAAATTATAGAGCAGTCAGGGCTGCCTTGAGGTTGTAAGTTCCAGACAGAGATAAGCCCAAAGTAGAGAGTGAAATTTACCAGATCCAGCTAAAGCTTTTTTCTTTGTAAAACATGACAAGAGAAAGACATGTATTCATGTCTGGAGTTCCTCCCTCTCTTTTTCTTTCCTTTTTTTTTTTTTTAGGCAATTGGGTTAAATGACTTTCCCAGGATCACATTTGGTCTGAGGCCAGATTTGAACTCAGGTCCTCCTGATTTCAGGGCCAGTACTCTATCCACTGCACCACTTAGCTGCCCCTGGAGTTCTTCTCAATCAGACAAAATGAAAGGGATCTTGAGTTATAGTCCTAAGCTGACCACAAGGAGGAAAACTAGGTTTGAAACTTAATATTCTTTAATGAGACAGCTCCGAAAGGCAGGGACTCGATCACATTTTTGTCCTTAAAGAAATAACTAGTTTTTTTTGACTAAGTAATAAAGGCTATTTTCTGCCTCATTTCTTACCTAGCCTTAATCACTGAATGAGTGTTGCCTCAGTCAAATTGAGATATGTTAAAGACCTTATTTTAAAAAGGCCAAGGTCTCCCATTGCATTAGGGCCATCTCCAGTCATCCTTATCTATATCTTGCCACTGGACCCAATGGCTCCAGAGGAGAAAGTGAGGTGGGTGACTTTGAACAGCCCTCCTTCACTTAAATCCAATTCACTTGTATGTCATGGCCCTGAAGTCATGGTCCTTTTTGAGAACTTGGAACAAAGGACAAACAACAAGAGAAGGACCTTTTGAACTTCAGAGGATTAAAGGATTTTGGACTTCCCATCAGTGTCCTAATCTTAGCATAACAGAAGACATAAGATAATATAACATAACATAATGTAACATAACGTAACGTAATGTAATGGAAGTATTTACATTGGAAGACAAGGACAAGGTAATCACACTGAAGAAAGGCAGTTTTAAGACTCTACAAGAAGCTCAGCAGAGAACTTGTCCCATTCCTAAGAGGAGCTCTAGAATTATATCCATAATGGCAGAAAAGGACTTTTAGCACCCAGAAGCTGTGACTCTTTGCTATATTTGCACTCCAAGTTTGAGCCCAATTTCCCCTAGACCCTGTATGTACTGGTTGGAGAATATGTCACAGACTTCTGGGATACGTTTTTATAACAACTATTCCTACTGTGCCATCCCTAACTAAAAGCAAATTGTCTAATTGATATCAACTGATAATGGAAGGAAGCTAACCAATGGGAGCCAGTGAGCTATAGAATTAGAAAGTCATTTACT